TATGCAGAACCCAAGATGGGGTGCAGAAGAGAGGAAGGGAGCTGTAGTGAGGAGCTGAGGAGCTCGATTTTGCACTTTTTCGTTTCTTCTCTTCTTCCTTTGACTCCTGATGAAAGGATGAAACCATCCTCACCGACACTTCCAACACCCCCCAGTTACCCCTGACGAACCCCAATTGTAGTGATTTGACCGGCACCCCAGGAGTACTTAGGGCAAGTTCAGCTTTAGATGTATGACGGTGGGTTATTTAAACCTTACATTTTCTTCCCTGGCTTTTATTGAAAGGACAGAATGTTATCACCAGCTATTAGATACACGTAGACTTGCCGTTTCAAAGTTTGAAGTGCTGACAGGTCAAGACAAAAGCTTCTCCATGTTGAGAGACAAAGGAGGTCTTCAGAAGTCTTGGCCTAGGTGGTCACAGGGGCATCAGGAGCCCAGGACCACTTGGCTGGTTTGAGACCAGCGGGGACAGGCTGGAAGGAACGCTCTCATATTTGCTCAGTTACAATAGCGACTCCTTCTTTGTGTAAAATGGTAATGAGGCCATTAGGAGAGGCTCACCTGAAGTGCAGCTTGTGAATCCAAGGTAATTAAACATCTCCTGAATGAAAGAGAAAGGCCAGGGAAGGTTAAGTGAGGAATAATCTACGGCACAGGTGGCCCAAGGCCTCTGAGGAGCCAGAAGAAGAGCGACAGTGGCCTACACCATTTCAAAGAGTGGAAATGTCACCCTAGTCCTTGAGAGGGGCAGGATTTTCATTATGGGGGGGATAAGGAATGAGTAATATTTTTAACACTTTAATAAAATATGTTTCTTTAGGTCCATAGCAGAGTGTGCCCCTCAGGGGCTCTCACCATAATGGCAGTAGGCTCACGGTCCCATGAAAAGGAGGTCACAGCAAACCAGGCATGCATCCATGTGTTGAAACAGACCACAAACTGCTCGCAGAGGAACAGCTTTCCCAGACTTACCTTTGTGCAGAGGTCCAGTAGCCCCGCTTGGGCATGCGTGCGTTGCTCCCAACCTTCACTCGGCTGACGGTTTGGGCACATGGCATGCCTATCTGGCAGCAGTGGTGGAGTTTCCAGACTTGGGTAGCTTTTCTTAGCACTTCCTGTGAGCTGAAGATTGTGCTGAGTGGCTTCATGTGGCCTTTCAGCTTGTCTTCACTGCATAAAGGCCAATAATGAAGGATTTTTGCTACTCAGGTTCTTGCCTCAAAGTCTCTGCTGTTTCCATACAAAAGCATGTATGGGAATCCTTGTGGCAGCAGTGTTCATCACCTGGTGGGCAGAGAAATAAGACTTGGTACACCCATGCCATGGGTTATTAATCAGTCAGGAAAAGGAACGAAGTATAAGGCATGCTACAACACAGGTACAAATTTTTCTTAATGATTAGTATACTAAGTAAAAGAATCCAGTCTGGAAAGGCTACTTGTTTTATGATTCCATTTATATTAAATGTCCACTATTGGCAAGTCCATAGAGAAAGAGTAGATTCCTGGTTGTGAGGGATGAGGTAGGGAAAGAATGGACAAATGGCAAGTGACAGCTAATGTATATGAATTTCTTTGGAGGATAATGAAAGGGCCTGGAGTTAGATAGTAGTGATTGTTTTCTGGTCTTATGGTGGTGTTAAAAACCACTGAACTATAACACTTTAATTCTATGATATGATAAATACATAAGGATATTTTTAAATTTCCTTATAAAAACTCAGCAACAAGAAATAACTTCTGCTGGGTGAGGTGGTACACACCTGCAATTCCAGCACACAGAAGGCTGAGGCAGGATGATCACCCCACCCTGAAGGTCAGCCTGAACTACATAATGAAACATTGCCCTCCCCCCCCCAAAAAAAAAGAAGAACCTCGGTGGGTTGTTTCTTATTTAAGCGTACGTCCCCAGGCAGTGATTCTGATATTTATAGGTTCACAGACGCCATGAGTGCTCTCAAGAAAGCTATTAATCTACGCCCAGAAAACTGACCATCACTCATTCATACTGCACATTGGAAGGTAGTTCATGAATCACCTAAAACTAATTTTCTCTTACTTTATCCTATTCATTTTATCCTGAGTTTTATTGTACATTCCTATAGTTAAGCCCCTTATAGAACTGATTTCCCAGAAATGTGTTTTTATATGTCACTTGAATGCTTAAAAAGTAATTAGCTTTTTGTTTCTTTCAAGATGGAGTAAACTATTATGAACTCTAGCAATCTTGGAGCAACCCAAATGTCCATCAGCCAATGAATAGATTAAAATAAGATGTATTTTTGGGGCTGGGGAGATAGCTCAGTAGAATAAGTACTTGCCTGGCAAGCACAAGGGCCTGAGTTCAATCCCTAGTTCTGAAAAAAAAAAAAAAAAGATGTATTTTTATATGATGGAGTACTACTCAGCTATAAAGAAGGATATATGAGACATTTATAGCTAAATGAACAGATTTTGAGACCATACTCTTTAGGTGAAATAAATTACAGCGGTCCGTCACTTAGCACAGAGGTTAGTTCCAGACACCCCCGCAATAAGTGGGAATCAGCAAAGTAGTGACGTTATATTTATTGTAGTATTTATATATGTTTTAAGGCTTTATAAACCTTCCTACACTTTTAAAAACACTTCTAATGTTCTTAACCATCTTCTAAACTGGTGAACCTACATAATTTTAACAATATACATGGATTGTACAGTACAGTATGTATTTACCTGCTAAAGAAATGCATATTGTAAACAATGTATTTTATTTTGATTTCATATTCTTTTAATATATGAGAATTAACATTTTTAATGTATTTTAATGTATTTTACTTTTTAGGCAAAAATCATTAAAGCCATAAATACTGTGCATATAACTATATGCAGAGCACTGTACACTACCGCAAAATCCCATGATATAGCAAAAAATCTGTGATAAATAATTTAGATTAATATTTTTTGAGAGCCCACGAAACAGTGAATCCACGAAAGTTGAACCACGAAATAGCGAGGGACCTCTGTGTATACATATGTGAAAATATCTCTAGTGTGAAAAAATGAAAGTGGAAATGAGAACCAAAGGTATAATAGATATTGTAAAATGGAAGAAATCGGTCAAAAAGAAAGGCGAACTAGGGAAGGGGAGGAGAAAGAAGGGAAAAGAAACAAACCTGCTAAACAAGAGAAGGATAAAATAGAGACAAAGCTTTGTAAATAAGGCGAGGAAGAGGGGTAGAAGCGAGGGGAAGGGAAAGGGGAAAAGAAAGAGGCCCCGACATGTGTCCTGTACAGGTGCAAAGTCTCTCTATGATGGTTGTAATCAATATGTACATGTCAGTCGTGCCAATAAACTTAATTTTTAGAAAATATTAATGTCCCTTCTGCTGGGGAAATGGCTCAGTGGAAGAAACACTTCCCTGGCAAGCGCAAGGGCCTGAGTTCAATCACCGGTTCTGCCAAAAAAAAAAAAAGTCCCTTCTGGCCACACTGTTCCCTCCATCCTCATCTTAAATCACCTTGGCCATCGTTCTGTCTCCTGAAGCCACATTTTTCCTCTTCTCGGAGCTTCTTCTGACTGGGGTTTCACGCATTACTCCTCGTACTTACATTGTCCCTGTCCCTCTTTGCTTAGTTACCTACTTCAGCTTGTTCTCTCTGTTCAGCCCTCCACCCAGGAAACCTCCCTTCCTCTCTGTTACAGACTCATCATAGAAGCAGTGTCACGTGCATTGGTGTTTTTGCTGACTATAATCTCAGGGAATGAGAACAAAGCGGTGTCTAATTTCACTTCTTATCACATCATCAACAGCTAACATAGTCTTGGGTGTGTAGCAGATAATAAATACCTGTTGAATGAATAAATGGCTCAAAGCCACCACGTTGCACCGTTCCAGGGAAGCCTGCATGTAGAACACAGTAAGATGGCGAGCCCTGAAGTTACGCAGTGTGGCATCCTGAGATGAATGAGGCGGGTAGGAGAAATAGTATGGGAAGCTTGACCTCATCCTTGAATTTTCAGGGCAATAGCCAGAGTACAAGACAGTCGTTCCTACTTAGACTCAGGAGGAGAGTCTCTTTTAGGTCTCATTGTTAAGAAAATCTTTATTCATCTGATTTGTTTATAATACTTTTTTTATTTTTTAAAAAATACTTAAGACTCAAAGAATCTCATAACTTTCATGTTTTCCTTTTTGCTCTGGCCACTAGGAGGCTCTAAAGCCAATGTAAAGCCCATTTCTACCCAACATGTGAGAGTGTATGGCTTACATTTACATCTGACCCTTGTCTCAGCTGCTGCTTTTCCCATTGCCATCACTTCCTTGCCTCTCTTGTTTTAACCTGTTGAGTTTCTATAAATTGTCGCTATTCCTTTAGAGTATGATGTGTGTAGTATATAAATAAACACTGTACTTCTAACATTCGTAAGTAACTTAGAGAGTGGAATTGTAACTAAAAGTCTGCGTATGATTTGGACTCAGATGATAGAACTTTGATTCTCATTCCAATCTGACACTTCTTGGGTTTGTTCCTAGGCATGGAGCTGGCTTCTCAGAGATTCTTTCCCTTTGCAAGATGGGAACAATACGCTCTTCCTCACAGGGCTGATTGTTGGAAGAAAAATTAGAAAATGTATGTGAGGGTACTTACCTGCCATGTAGTAACTGCTGAGGAGGAGTTTTGTTTTTATTTCTATTAGACACATCTCATAGGAGCAACAGTCATTTAAATTTCAAAAACCTGCGCTCGCCTTGGCAGCACACATACTAAATTTCAAAACCTTATAGTTGGGGCCAAGGTTGTAGCTCAGTGGCAGAGCACTTGCCTCAGCATCCCGTCACCCCAAAAGGTTGAGTGGATCACCTGTCCTAATACCAGAGGCATTTTTATTCTCCTACAGCAGTAGCAACAAACTGACCCCCTTCAAAAGTATTCCTTAAGGATCTGTGGGTACCAGGCTTAGTCAGCCATCGTCCTGTAATCAGCCCTCAGCCCATGTCTCCTTTCTGTCACCAGATCTCTTCACTGAAGAACAGACTGAAAAAAGTCTCCACAACCACTGGTGATGGCGTGGCCAGAGCTTTCCTCAAGGCCCAAGCTGCTTTCTTTGGTAGCTACCGAAATGCTCTAAAAATTGAACCGGTGAGTAACATCTTGACATATGTCATGATTCGTGTTTGGTCAGATCTCAGAAGCCTACCTCAGAAACTTGGAGAAATCATGCTTCTTCTGATTTTTGAACTCCCCTGAAGAGGACTGTGTGTGAATGTGGAGGGTCTGTGTGGGGGATTTCTCCCTTTGCCACACCTCTTGGCACAGGAGGTCTTGCTCGTTCTCATGCATAAGATACCCGCTACTCCTGTGATAAGCACAGGAAGATGCAAATGACATGCTATGGATAGTGCCAGGATTGTCACTTGCCTGCTGACGCTGAGGACTCACAGGGTGGGAGGTAGTGATGATCAGCTTTGCTTTCTAGATGAGAAAATCAAGACTCAGAGATGAGAAACAACTTACCAGCAGCACCAAAGCCTGAATTTTTGCCCTCAGTTTCTCTTGTCCTTAAAGGGACCACTCTTTTACCCTTGAGACAGCAAAGCATCCTGGGAGTTTACTTCTTGGTGGCTCTTACTTGTAGTCATAGTTTAAGTGACCACAAAGCAGGCCAGAGATACAGCTCAGCAGCACAGCGCCAGCCTGGCAAGCGCAAGGTCCTGAGTTCGATTCCAAGTACAAATAAATGAATGAAGGACCACAAAGCACAATGGGGACCAGTAGGTGGTGCTGCCTACCTGTGTGGCCCTTCCACTTTTCCCAACCTAGTTGACTTACACCTGTCCCTTGCCTGCCGTGTGAGGTGATGAGCTGTTGGAGGATGTAAAGACATCCAGGCTTTCCTGAAGCTAAAGGCACTTCTGTTTCTTCAACTTCCAGGAGGAGCCTTCTTCTGAAGTATCTCCTCTCAGCCTCCTTCGGCGCACTCATCCCAGGTGGACTGGAGTGTGGGGAACCAGCGTAGGTCACACTGCCTGTGTGCCAGTGCTGCAGTTAACTAGATGAAATGCCAAAAGCTAAGCAGATATCAGTTAGTACATTTCATATAAAAATTTTGAGAATGAACCTCCTCATAAGCCACTTATACACTGCTGTCTGTTTTACCGCCTTAACTGCATCATGTGTCTAAGGAAACACAGACAGCAAGCACCTTGTTTTCCTTCCACCCAGGAGTGGTCAGGGTGGTGGAGTTCAGGGAGCAGCATCCTCCCCTCCTCGTTTTCCTTCGGCACTGAGGCCTTCCTTCCCAGGCTGCCTCTGCATGGGGGGGCAGTGTTCTGATTACACACAGAAAAGCTGCACATGTCTTCTGTCCCTTAAGAGGTACTTGCCTTATCCTCCTAAGCCCTTCAGCCTAAGCAAGCTTCCACGTCCTGCTTGTCTCAAAGTGAAGTGGCTCTAATTGTTTGTCGTGATCTTAGACCCAGCTAGGCCCATCACGTTTGGTGCTGTTACTGGGAACTGACAGACTGGAAGTATTTTCGTTCTGATAGTTGTCGCATTGTTGTCACATATGTTTCTAAAATCCAGAGGGGGTCGATTCTTGGCACACATTGCCGGGTGTGATTTGGGCACATTTGGGATGTGATTGGGCTCCACAAGAAGAATCTGTGGTTGTACTTGCACTCAACTCTGAGTAGTTCTGTATTTAAAGACAGTAGTTCGAGAGTTTAAAGTCTGGCTCTGCTTTTCTTGGCCGTATAAAACTTGAACAAAATGCTTACTCTGTTTAAACTTTAGTTTCTTCTTCTGCAAAACAAAAATGATGTCCTTTCTATATCTCCTCATTGTTGTAAAGGTCAAATGCAGCTAAAGTGTTTATGAGAAAAGTGAAACCTGAATGGGGTCTGGTGAATAAGGTTTGGGGGGCAAAGGCAGAAGCTCCCCTCCTGACGTGGATGTGGCACTAACTGAGCCCGCAAAGGCTGAGGGTGGCCCCTCGGGGCCTGTGCGTCAGCTGTTGGGTTTGGAGTGATGTATGGTTGGGGAAATGGAGCTGCAAGAGAGGTTGGGGCCAGACTTGGCAGACTCAGATGCTAGGCTGGCTACGAGTGTGAAGTGCACCTCATTAGGAGCATAAAGTTTTGAGCAGAGATATGATGTGGTCAGTGTCAGGCTTAGGCAGTAAGCCAGTGATAGACTGAAAGAAAAGCTGGAGGCAGAGAAACATTTAGAGGAATATTCTGGGAATTCAGAAGAGAGCCCTCAGGGGCTTACACCAGGAAGTGGTACCAGGGCAGAAGAACTGAATAGGCCCAATGACAGATAACAGTTGGTAGATGAAGGGCAAGAAATATCAAAATGTTCCCCAAGACTTGGAGCCTGGGAGAGGATGATGATGCTCTATAGCAAAGAGAAAAGCTAATGCCATGGTATTCACAGTAGCAATATTTGTATTGTTGAAAAAATTGTTTGAAAAGTGTTTATGTTAGATAACTGGTGAGGTAAGGCCTCGCCTTTAAAAGCATCATTTTGAAGATAAAGTCATGGATTTGATTGTAGACATGGCACTTTTCCTTGAATCTAAGCTGCCATTCAATTGCAAGACAGACCATTGTTGTAGATATCATTAAAAAAGGGAAGAGAGTGCTGCTGGTTATAATTGAAAGACACCATCAATTACAAGACACATCCAGATTTCAGAGATGTTACAGCGGGAAGAAATTTACTTCTTAGAATCAATGAAATATGGCAGATCTGTCCTGTACTCAGTTCCATTCATCTGTACCAGAATGGGTTTCTTCTGTGAGTCCAAGAAAGAAAGCAGAAGGTCTGAAATTTTTGAACCAAGCCATTGGTCAAGTGGTTTTTAAGCCATAAATTTAATTCTGGTAAATTCTCATCTACAAAATGGGATAACAACATTCCCTGCACAAACTTCTTATGCTGGAGATTCAAGTGAGCCTGAAAAGGGAGAAGGGGCCAGGGCTGTGCAGCCCAGGCCGGGCAGAAGGGTGTCCTCTGCAAGAGCACAGTGCTGAGGGGGCCGGAAACCTCCCCTGGGCACTTGGCTTTCAGTTGTTTCTATGGTTATTAAAATAGCACCTGTTCTTGGTAAAAATGGTTAAAGAAACGAAGGAGTGGAAATAGACATACCATACCACAGTCCCATCACCTGTTAGGATGCTGCGTTCAAGCTTTCACCCACCAACCTCTCTCTCTCTCTCTCTCTCTCTCTCTCTCTCTCTCTCTCTCTCTCTCTCTCTCACATACACACACACACACACCACTCCAGGGTCTTTGATTTGCCTTTGGTTCATTTTCTTTGGGGACTTCATTTTTATATTTTTCTTTTCAGCAGCTGAGATATTCCTGACAGAGCCATCTAGTATCCCAATTATTAGTTTGTTTTTGCCTTTTGATATGTGTAAGCACTTTTTGCATATAAAATTCTTTTCTTAAACATCATTGATAAGCGCTGCATGCATCTCAGCAGGTGAGCTCTGTGGTTCTCAACCCAGCTCTAGGTCACTGTCATGAGGAGGGTAGGAGACAGGGACAGGCTTTTCAAAAGGTATATGTCTGAGCCTTGCTCGTAGAGTTTTATTACTTCTCGTGATCTGAAAATTGGTGTTGAGGCCCACCATATTATCCTAATGTCAGTCTTTTTATTTGTTGTAACATTGCATGATTTTTAAACCACACTGTGGTGAACATCTTCATATAAATCTTAGTGCCTGTTCTAAATTATTTTTTTAGGCAGAGTCCCTGCTATAGATTTACTAGGTCAAAGGATCCAAGTGCATTTATGGCCTGTGGCACCGAAAATGATGGAGAAGCGGTGGTGATGTGCAGGGCAGAGCCCTAGAGTCAGGTGCAGGCTCTTCCCCCAGGCTCGGAGCCCTCTTGAGATTTTGAACCCTGTGGCCATTTTTTCCCCTTTCCTACTGGGAAAATTTCATAATACCTCTGACTAGGGAGACCTTTTAGCTTTGTGCACTTCCCCTACCCAGAAGAGGGAATGGTGTTCGCAGAGGCTAGCTCATGCTGAGAACAGGGGTGATATGTCTCTTCAGGGCCTGATAAATTGTTTTAAAGGGGTCAGAAAGTAAGATGAGGGGATTACAAGGGCGTCAACCATAGCCAAGTGAACCACCTCCTGAGAGCCTTCCCACAAGATGAGACTTGGTTGGTCTTGGAGCTGCTGCATGTCTTTGATCTCAGTAATTCCCCATGACTGCTCCTAACTGCATTGTAAGGTGGAGGAGGAGGATGGCTCTGATTGCCAATAATATCCTGATACATGGTAGAGCCAGAGTCAGACCAGGTGAGGCTGACTCCCAGACCCAAGTTCCTTCCACCGTGCCTTCTTGCCTATCTTAGTTGTAGTTCCCATGTGTTCCACGTTAATAATTCTTTCTCTCTGCACTTCTAGTGCCAGGCACAGATCACGGCACAGTGTATAGGCATCAGTAAATATAGTTTAGAGTAATTGATGGAAGAATAAGAGAAAGAAATGAAGAAAGAGGGAAGTGTTTGGGACAAAAGGTTGGCTTTGTACATACATTGTTTCCTGTCCTATCTGTGGGCTTTAGAAGTTGCTGCTCCTAGCAAAGGGGAGGGTGTCTGCAAATCACGAGGGCATGTGACCCATTTTTCAGTCACCTGGAAAATATCAGATGCAAAGCCCAAGATATTTTAACAGTATTGGCTAAGCCAGCTTGTTCTTCCCTACTTACATGACAGAACCACAAGCAGCCAGGAAGCCCCATTCGGAGAACCCCCCTTTATCCATGTCAAGCTGCAGCCCAGGCTCCAGCTCATTTATTTAGGCCTTTCTTGCTCTCTGACACGCCTCCTAGCAGTTGCCAGGCAACTCTGGGAGTAGCAGTGTGTGTTAGGGATTAACTAGTTAGGGCTGGGGTCCTTTTTGGCAAGAAGAGGATAAAAGACAAATGATTTTAATTGCTAGACCAACGACCCTTTCTCTGCTTGGTAGAAGACTGCAACTTTTGGAGGATGTGTATAGCAGTATGGTTCTTGAATTGCCTTGAATTTTCTCTATCCTTCTTCCTAGGAAGTGCAGATGAATTTTAAAAGAATCTTCTACTTCATTCCTTTGTTTAAAATTAAATCATCATGAAATC